GGGGTTTCCCGTAGTTTTGTGGGAAGTGGCTCACCAGGCCTTTCTTCTGAGGTGCATCTGCGTGAACTCAGACCGCCAGGCTTTCGACTGGCAGCCATGCACATCAACTGTTGGCGCTCCTTGGGCCTCCCCTTGGCAGATACAGTACCCCAGACTAGTCACCCTCGAGTCACCTCCAGTAGAAAGGTAGTCGGCGGGGCTTTCGGAGGATATTGACCATCACAGGTCGGGACAGGCCCGTGGGTGAGCGTAGAGAGAAGGAAAGCTGATGGCCAGGTCAGGAGACCAGGAGATGGACGAAGGACACTCCCCTGCATCCCACCAAAGGAGATGGAGCCGCAGCCAGTGGGGCTGCTGGAAGGCAGGAAGCTGGGGAGAGTGCTTCTAAGAGCAGGCAGGGACCATGCTGGGCACCGTGCAAGCTGAGAAACCACAGTTGAGCTGCTGACCAAGAGAGGTCATGGAGGGCCTTGACAGGGGTTGTCTCAGACAACTCACGGGACAAGAGACTGACTGGAGTGAGTTCAAGAGAGAATGGGAGACAGAGGCAGCTCCTTCGTGGAATTTTCCTCTCGAGGGGATTAGAATAAAAGGCCGAGGAGTCTGCTTCTGAGAATCAGCCCTTGCCAACCCCACGCACACAGTTCTTCTCTGACGCACAGAGCCTCCAACAGTCAGTCAGGGCAGCTCCCTTTCCAGGGCAGTGGTGACTCAGTGGTCGGATGCTCACCTGCCATGTAGGAAACTTGGGTTCAATTCTGAGTCAATACACCTCATGTGCAGCCACTGTTATTAACCTGCCTCTGGACACTTCTATTACGACCACACTGCACAAGTTTCAGTGGCCTTTCCTGACAAAGACAGACTAGGAAGAAAGGCAATTTATTTCCAGAAATCAGCCAGAGTCGATCCTGGGGATGGCTGAGGCCTGAGTTTCTCTCAGGTGTACTCAATTTTCCCTTCACCTCATGTCACCACCAGCCAAGCTCTGAGGACAACCCCCTCCAGCATTGCCCCTTTGGGGTGGGGACGTGGCATGCAACTTGACCTGCAGACAGACGTGGGGCTCGGTGGCAGGGCTGTCGTGCCGATTCTGCAGAGGTTCAAGGGTGGCACTGAGGGCAGGGCCCACCATCGGGCTCAGAGCAGGGCCTAGGCCCTCCCCCTGAGCCCCCCACCCCTTTTCTTTTGGTCTCCTTTTGATAGTGTTCTGCAACCGAGCTTTAGACTTCCTGGCTCCCGCTGGAATTGCGCTCCGCTTAAGGTTTAGAAATGGGAAGCCTCTGCTGCGGCGTCACACGCCAAACGATGCCGGCGCTCCCGACGGCCCTGCGATAGGGCTAGGGTCCCATTTTTCCAAGGAGAAAACTAAGGTTAGTTGTGCCATTGTCTTTTCCAAAGCCAGTGTTCTTGTCACTCTGCCCGCCGGAAGCGCCAGGGCCGGCGCGGCGCAGGCAGGGGGTGGCTCCACGATGCGGCGTCGGGCAGCCTCCGCCGCACCCCGGCCCCGCCCCACGGAAGGGGACCGGAGCTGCCAGCGCCCTCCGGCTCAAAGCCAGGCGGGACTTCGCGGTCGGGCGGGGCTTCCCAGGGACAGGGGCGGGGCTTGTGCGGGGCGGGGCTCCGGGCCCCGCCCCTGACCGCAGATTCAAAGCGGACGGCGGACGCGGGGCGGGGTCAGAACTCCGGACGGGCGGCCGATCCCCGCGCGGTGCCTGGAGCCCGCGGCGGAGCAGCGCCCCGGCGGGGCCGTGCAGGTACAGCAACCGCGCGGGCGGCTGGGGCTGGGCCAGGCGGGAGCGGCGGCCTGCTGAGGACCACCGGAGTCTTAGGGGTCGTGGCCAGAGCCTTGCTTCCTCCTGTTGCCTGGGCCCCTTCTCCCGCCCCCGCCTTCCTGCGGTGAAGCGGGCTGTGGCGGGGCGGATGGGCGCCTGCGCCGCTTCCTGCGGCCGGGACCGACCCATGCTCGGGGCCCGGACGGGGGAGCAGGGGAAACTGAGTCATGTCGGGGTGGGAGCAGGCCTGTATGGGAGGCGCCAGCCCTCTGGGTCTCAGGATGGATTTCCCTTTACAGAACACGCTTTGGGATCCCGACCCCCAGTGATCTCAGGGACCTCGCCCCACCCTCCCAGCGCCCAGGGGTCCCGCCCTGGCTCCCTGCAGCCTCGGCCGGGCCCAGAAGGGCCAGGACCTGCTCCAGCCGCCTCCCTCTCTTCTCCTCCCCTCCCCCTCGAGTCCCAAGCCCCCGTGTGCTCCCTCCGCTGGCTCTCCGCGCAGTGTCAGCTTACACGCCTTATATAGTCCGAGCAGGCTCCAGCCGCGGCCTGTCTGCCTGCCTGGACCCGGGGGCGTGGGGGTGGTGGTGGCGGGAGAGGAGCGCTGGCCCCTGACTCACCCTGTCCCCCGGCTGGCCCCGGCTAGCTCCGTATCAGCTTGGGGGCAGACCCGTGCTGACCCCACGGCCCTCTCCCCGATTTCAAAAAACATACAAACAAAAAAACCCTTCACATTTGGATTGGATCTCTCCCAGGCTCCCCATCCCAGCAGGAGGGGGGCTACTCCCCTCATTCCAAAGTGAGCTCCACCAGCCAAGCCTAACAAGGAGCCTGCCCTCCCAGGTCGGGGTATGCTTGGTCTCTGCACATGCCTGCCTGATGCCTGTCCAGTTCTCAGCCTGCCTGCCCACCCACCATACTGACCACTCCCATTCTCTTCTCAGGAGCAGGCACCATGGATTCTTTCAAGGTGGTGCTGGAAGGGCCAGCACCCTGGGGCTTCCGGCTACAAGGGGGCAAGGACTTCAATGTCCCCCTCTCCATCTCCAGGGTGAGCCAGAGATGAATTCTAGGTTGGGAGACGGACTCTCTTGGGTGCTGGGCTCTCAAATGGGGGGTGGGGGTGGTAGGAGGAGTCTGGGCAGGAGCTGGCAGAGACCCCAGGTCAGGGCCAGTGTGAGTGAAGAGGCCACAAAGGCTCCCACTTAGATGACCATGAAGCCCAGCAGCCCTGCTGCACTGGCTGCTGGTCCACATAGTTCCAGCCATGGCCCTCGGCCTTCGGGAGGCCAAAAGCAAGCCCTTCTGGGAGAAGAAGCCCAAAGTGGCCAGAGGAAATGTCTAAGCCAGCTACGGGAGGGTCGCTGAGATAGCGTGGACACTGACAGCAGAATCTCACTTCAGTCTCCAGCATCGATCGATCAGGGAATAGTAACTGTCATGCCATTTTTCCACCGGAGGGGACCCAGGGCACAGAGGTAGAGGGGTTTATTCCGCACTTCCCTGGCAGGGTGAAGATTTGAACTCAGGCTCCAGGACTGGGCCTGCAGTTGGTGTGTTTTAAAAAAAAATAACAACCCTGTAAGACAGGGTAGAACTGTCCCTGTGAATTTCTCAGACTGTAACTCTTCATGGGAGTAGAAAGCCCCATCTTTTTCCTCACAGCTGGCTGGTGGTTTCGAACTGCGGACCTTGCGGATCGCAGCCCAGTGTGCATCCGCTATGAGAAAAAGGTTCCCCGCAGCCTACATGAGGGCCCCTGGTGTCATCCATTGACTCTTTCAGTATGCAGTGGCCTTTGTCCCTTACTGGAGAGGGGTCAGGGCAAGCTCTAGGGCTCCTCCACCTTGGGCTCTTGAGATCCCTGGAAGGGGCGGAGCTAGGGACTGGCTCCTCCCTGTGGCCGGGGGATTGCCTTATAAGCCCAAGAATGCAAGCCCTACACTAGGATGCGAACCTCCGGGGTAGACTCTGTAAAGCTGAAAAGGCCTGGCCTGGACCCGAGAACCCCTGAACTTCATCGGTGGGCCCCTCTGGTTGAGGGGTGGTCCAGGTAATTGCCAGACTGGTCACCAGGCCATGGCCGCTGCTGTAGAGGTCAGTTGTGGGACACAGAGAGCAACTGCTTGCCCAGAGTGGGTGAGGCCTTCCCTGAGGCTGGTAACTCTGGGGCTCTGATTGTGGCCTGGGGGTTAGAAGGGGGTGGAGACTTCCTGCCCCTGCTTCCGCCTGTCCGGAGAGGCCCACCCAAGTGCCGGTGGGCAGGCAGCTATTGGCAGGAAGCCCAGGGCAAGCACGTCAGAGAGAGCCAGAAGGATGTCCAGTCACTGCCCAGTCTGAGTACAGCCTCTGTGTATGGCACCTTTGTGACCAGGGCAAGCAGGGGGCATTCTGTGCTTCTGGGAGATCCTTCCAGAGGGTTCCCCTGGCATCAACCCTGGTAGCCAAGGGCAGTGGGCCCCCTCATGCCCTGACATGCCTACACAGTCCTCCAATTTTGCCTACCCTAAAAGCCTACCCACATCCCCCTTCTGAGCTGGTGCTGTTCTCTGAGCCTCGGTTTCCTCACCCGAGGCAGACAGAAGGGGGAATAGCCTGGTAGCTCAGGGGCTGGACTTCCAGTTGTGACCTGTTGAGGGCACTCTGAGCCTAGGCTTCCCTGTCAGAAACCCCAGCCCTGGAGTTTGAAGGAGGCCTTGGCAGGAGGGGTGGTCTTTTCTGAGCTGGGCCGGCCCCTCTCTGCCCTGACCCCAGAATGGAGGGACCAGGGAGGGGCTAAGGCTGGCTCTGGGCCCAGGCCTGGGAGATGAGGTAACGTCTGGGACTGGGGGGTTGGGCTGCTTAGTGGGGCCCTCAGGCTGACTCACCCCGACCCCAGGAAATGTCCAGCCCCTTGGCTTGCCCCCTCCTCGGACCCCAAGGCCTCACCCTGCCCCCAGTGGGAACTGTTCTCTGCTTCCCTCCCACCATCCCTGCAAGCTCCCCCTGTTGGCTCTCTAGCCTCTGACTACTGTCCTACCCCTCCTGTGCTTCCCACTCTCCTCTCCCTGGGAAAAGGAAGTAATCCCCACCTCCTGCCAGCTGGTCCTGCATACCCCAGGACCCCCATTTCTGGCTCAGCCCACACCTCCAAGGAGTCAGGAGGGCGTGGCCCAGCCAGGTTTCCCTTCTACTGACTCACCATGACCTTAGCAAGTCTCTTCCCCTTGAGGGTGATAAAGGGTTGGATGGAACTAAAGGTGAGGTCTGGAATCCAGGCCCCAAACCCAACCAGGGGTCAGGGGGTGCTGACCCTGCGTGGGGTCCCAAGGGTCAGGAGAGGTAGCCCCGAGGCAAACCCTGGCCCTGCTCCTCACGAACTGGACCACCTAAAGCAAGTTGCTTAGCCTATCTGTGTGCTCTGCCATGTGTTGAAGGGTTGGAGACTGAGGCTCCATTGACAGAGCTGTTGGAGGATTCAGTGTCCATACGTAGCCCGGAGACTAGAGGCACTGAGTGGACGTAAGCTGCTGTGATTACGTAGTAGGGAAAGGAGGGACTACCAGCTCCCTTACCCTTCTCCCTTCCCTGCATGAAAGCCAGCCAGCTAGGCTCCTGGCCCTAGTACTGGCTGTCTTTATGTCAGGAGCCTCTACCCTCTCCTCCCCTTGCCTAGGCTCATTCTGTATACTGGCCCCACCAGAGGAGAATCCTGTGGTCTCGGGTAACCTGTGCATACCCCCCACTCCCCACCATCTTCTTAGCCACCTAGCTTGACTCACAGCTACCCTATAGGACAGGGTAGAACTATCCCGTGGGGTTCTGGGACTTTTGGGGAGCAGAGAGCCGCCTTCCTCTTAAGAGGCTGGGGGTTTCAAAATGCTGACCGTTTGATGAACAGCTGTCACTTATTGCCACCGGGATCCTGCCTTACAGGGTTTCCAAGGCTATAAATCTTTACCAAAGCAGACTGCCTCCTTGATCTCCCTCGGAGCAACTGGTGGGTGTGAACCGCCAACCTTGTGGTTGCTGTTGGGCCCACTGCGCTGTTAGGATTCTTCCCCAGGAAAGGGACTCCCAGGGCACAGCCTGCGAGGTCGGAATGCTATGAGGGGTGAGGGATGCTGTGGCTTTTGCAAGCTTGGGGGGGTGGCACCCATTGACAGCCCTGAAGCCCTACTGACACCAAGAGCCCCCTCTAGGCTCCCTTGGAGATGACATGGCTTATCAAGGGATCAAGGGTATCAGTGGTCAGAGCACCTAGGGGTGTTGGAGAGGAACGTGTCCCATGCAGAAGCAGGCAGGGAAGGGTTTGTTAGATCTCGCCCTCTCGTGGGAGAGAGAAACCTTGGTCCTTGGCTCCTCCCAAGAAAGAATTCACGCTGAAGCCTGGTTGGTGATCCAAGTGAGTTTTATGAAAGTTAGACGCAGTTTGAGGTTCTACAGTAAATGGAACGCAAGTTAGAGTCCACGGCACCGTTGGTGGGCCATGGCACAGCCTCGTTGGGCTGTGCAGCCGTGCAGCGCTGAACGGTGTGTCGGAGCCCCTGGGAGAGAGCCTGAGCAAAACCTCTGGTATTTCAGGGCCCCCATTGGGAGGCGTGGTCAATACTAGTCGACCCTGTTGGCTGAATCAAATTTACCTGGCCTAGATGGGCCAGTACAGGTGTGATGCCCACCTAGGTGTACCACCCCTTCCTGGCCAGGAGCTCAAACCTAACAGGTTTCCTTGGTCAGCAGAACATTCTGGGCAGAGGCCCACGAGGCCAGCAGGATTCAAATGGCTGTGGGTGCCCCAGGCAGAGGGACTGTGGCTCTCTCCCACGGGTGGCCGTTTGTGGAAGTCATAATCATTTCTGGTCTGCCGGGAAGGGCCATGTGATGCTCGGCGAGCCCCACCACCACCTGAGTAGCTGTGCCTCCAGCAGCTGCCCGTCTGTTGGCTGGAGGGACCTCTGGGTTTGGAAACGGGGCAGCTTAGAGAAGGGCAGGTTGATGGCTGGAGACCTGTGCCCCTGTCTCTCTACAGCTCACTCCGGGCGGCAAAGCCATGCAGGCCGGCGTGGCCGTGGGTGACTGGGTGCTGAGCATTGATGGCGAGAACGCAGGGGCTCTCACGCACATCGAAGCCCAGAACAAAATCCGAGCTTGCGGGGAGAGCCTCAGCCTGGGGCTCAGCAGGTGTGAGGGTGCTGGCAAGACTGGTGGGGGAGGGGGGGGCCCCCGTCCTGGGGAAGGCAGGGGCCGACCTCCCTGACCCATGCTCACTGTTTTCCCTTTCCCTCCAGGGCCCAGCCAGCTCAGAGCAAACCACAGAAGGTAGGCGCTGTGCCAGGGACCTAGAGCTGCGGGTGGGTGGGGTTAGCAGCGGTGGTGGCGGGGCCCTGACCTGCCCTCCACTGGCTGGGAGTAGAGGTTAGGGGCCCAGAGCTGGGGAGGGTTTGGGGGACCCGAGCTGAACCCGGGGCTGCCGCACGGTCCAGGCACCACGCATATCTGTCCGTCTGTGTCCGTCGGCCTGCCTCCCTTGCTCCGGCCTGTGCTGTACGCCGCACCGCCTGCCCTCCGGACTGCGTGGGCTGACATCATAGCTCCCAGACAGGGCCCTTACTTGAAACCTGAGTCCCCCCCCCCACCCTTCCCTCTAGCCTCCAGCCAGATGTGTGGGGGTGGGGCTAGACCGGCGCCCTCCACTCCACACCCCAGGGGCGCTCCACTCGGGCCCACCCCGCCCCGCCTTGCCCGGCTCTGTCTCTGCTCAGGCCGCAGCCCCCGCTGCCGCAGACTCCCCGCGGTACACCTTTGCACCCAGCGCCTCCCTCAACAAGACGGCCCGGCCCTTTGGGGCGTCCCCGCCCGCTGACGACACCCCAGCGCAGAATGGGTACGTCGTTGGACTGTCCACCGCCCACGCTTCCCCTGCGCCGCCCGCGCCCACC